TAACACATACCTTTTACAGTTTCCCAGGTTCTCTTGGCTACAGTATTTGTACTGGTTTCACAGTTGCTATTAGACAGTTAGGTTTGCAGTATTGAGAATTATTTTCATGCTTTCTACTTAAAGCAAGCCTAACCTGAGAACTTCACTGCAATCATTTAAACACAACCTGTGCTATACTGGGTTACATATGCTAACTTTAATAGTGGATATATGAGAAATATGACTTTTACAAATATAAGAATTGCTACCTATCACTCTCAATATAGTTATGTCATATTGGCCAACAGCTCTCCTTGGATAGCCTTGAAAGGAGTAATTGGAGTCCTCTCTATCAGTTCTGATAACAGTTTTTGCTGTGAACAGTACAAAGTTGGTATGGTAGAATCCCCAAATTATTTTCTAGCTTATTCATGAATAGCAATGGTAGACCTAAAAACTGCATCTTGCTGTCTCTTTTTATGAAACTCTTAGTATAAAAAGGGAAGATGCTATGGATCATGCTGCTTGTAGATTCTTAGAAATGGGTTGTGGTCATTATAAGACATTATATTCAGATTTTCTCTGCTTTAATTAACAATAACATTAACATATAAACAATATAGATGAAGAAAACAACACCTTATGTAAAGCATTCTTATCAGGAACATGCTTTTTTTCTACTTTTTCTTTTTTTACTACAACACTGATTTTCGAAAGAGAGTAATTGGAAATGAGGGTAATGAAGCAAGATAGAAGGAAGTACTCTAAAATTAAAGCACATTGTTTAGAAAGAGAGAATATTTTATGTCCAGTGCAGTATTCGCTACTTTGAATGGGTTATATGCAAGCTGTATAATAAGTAATATTTTGGTCACTTTCAAGGTTCTCTTTAGAGAGATTTTCCATTACCCGGGCTTTTATTATTATTATTATTATTATTATTATTATTATTATTATAAAATATTATTAATAATCAAACTGTGAGGGTTGCTTTGAAACACCATTTTGTCAGACTGCCCCTCTGCTGCCATCTGTCACATGGTAAGAAAATGTAATGGAATATTGGTGGAAAGGTTCATCCACTGCTGTCATACCACCAACATCTGCCTCTGATGCTGTGGGCAAACATAATAAAGTAGAAGGCATTACTTTCAGAGCAGCCATTGTGGTTAGTACACACCAAAATGTTGATATAATGCAGTGATTTATTTTATTATTTTTTTCAGAAAGGGATGCAACTGTGAATTCTTTGCTACACTGACTGATTGTGTCCCCTACAATCTCCCTATTTGCTAGAAATAGGTCTACTCTTTATCTTTAGCCTGACATTTAAGAGTAGGTAAAACAAAATCTTTTCAATGATGTCTTAAACCTTATCTCACTGGAGAGGGACTTTTCTGAAAGCTGTAGCAGACATATAAAATCTGACGAGGGCACAAAATCTTGTGGTGTAGTTTGCTTATTTGTTTGCTTGTTTTGATTTGATTTTGGCTTTGGTTTTGGTTTAGCATATAGAGTTGGACATGTCCTAGTTTGCTTGGTTTTTTACCTTTAAAGCATTACACAGATTTTTAAAATGTGTACATTTTTAAAAATGTATACAGTCTTGATGTTCTCCATGTACTCAAATATCAAAATAACTATTTTCTCAGCTTCTCAGAATTTGGAGCGTTTCCAAATTCACATGCAGCCATTTCATTTTTCTCATACTTCAGTATTAATGTTCATCATTTATTTGACCATACACATATTTTGTCTTGCGACTTCAAATTTGACTCTTTTGTCACTTTTTATTTTCATGTATTACAGTTCTGCAATCTTTATGCTTAAAAGTTAGTCTGAAAAACTCCATTAACAAAATATATTTTGGTTTTTATTTTCTTCTTTTCTCTTCAGATTCTTCTAAGTTCAATTGTATTCTTCAAGATATATATTGCAAATAATAGCTTTTCATAGAATTAACATTCTACGAATGTTTCATGGCTTAGACATAAATGCTGAAGTGCACTACTAGAAAGATGGTACTTATTCTGTAGGAATTTTGATTGGAATACTTATGGTTTTCTACTTCAGAAATCTTGGAACATCATGTATAATTATTTTCAGCATTAAAACCAGCTACACATTAGCCTCTTTAAAATTATTAGACTATTTTATATAGTAGCTAAAGGTCACTTGTTGAGATTACAGATGGATCTTGCTGAATGTCTTTGAATTTTACTTCTTGTGAGGGACAGAGGGAGGACTACTGAGGCTAAAGCTATGAAAACCAGTGACATGGAAATGGTAGCTACTCTCATAGAATCATAGAATGTCCTGAGCTGGAAAGGACCCACAGGAATCATTGAGTATACTTCCTGTCTCCACACAGGACTACCCAAAAATCAGACCATATCTCTGAAAGCAGTATCTGTACAAGTTTGTTCAAATATATATGAGCAATCTTTTACTCTATTTAGGTGATTCATAGGAGTGTTTAAGGTGAAACATAAGGCTGTGGTCTTACTTTGAGCTTTCTGACATAGCTCCTACTCATTTTCTATTCCATCCAGTGTGTAAGGTATAGTTATGGATTATTTTGCCTTATTCTCATTCAGGTGTCAGTCATGATTTGTTCACTGGCTGATAACAGGAAGAGTCCTAGAGTATTAGGTCAATGAAGCTCTTAGATTAATGGGAATGATTAATGGGAGAATAATTTAAAAGACAATCATAGAGATATAATATTTTATATCCTTTCCATAATTAGTTTCAATCACCTCATATGGCCTTATAACACCATAATCCTATGATGTTCTAGGAAAGAATCACAGAATCATAGAATGGCCTAGGGGTTGAAAAAGACCACAGTGATCATCTAGTTTCAACCCCCTGCTATGTGCAGCCAACCTCTAGACTGGGCTGTCCAGAGCCACATCCAGCCTGGCCTTGAATACCTCCAGTGATGGGGCATCCACAACCTCTCTGGGCAACCACTGGGTGGTTCCAGTGTGTTACCACCCTCTATGCGAAAAACTTCCTTATAATATCTAACAAAAATCTCCCCTGTCTTAGTTTAAAGCCAATCTCCCTTGTCCTATCAGTATCCTAAACAGTTGTTCCCTCTCCTGCTTTTTATTTTTTAATTACAGTTTCCTTACATAGCATTTAAATCTAGGTTTAGTGCAGAACTTGGTATTTTCTTTGTGACAAACTTTTGTTTAAATTTTTAAAATTTTAACCTAAAGTGCACAAGAAATATTTAAGCACAGCTGCAGAAAGCTAAAACTAATGAAAAACATGTTTTTGAAAAAGTAAGGTGCTATGTTAGAATAACATACTGAACCAAAGAGGCATGGCTCAAAAATTTTACTTAAGTTAAATTCAAAATTCAAAGTCTTTGAATGAATGGGGTAAAATCTTGTCAAAAAATATGATGACGCAATAATGTAACGTAGGGAAATTAAAATGTCATTGGACTTTTCATATTTTCTTGGCTTTCCTGTACTTCTTAAAAGTCATCTTCTGTATACTTTTTCATTTATTTTTTTTTTTCCTATCGTGTTGACTCCTGTTTCCTACTCCTGTTGACTCTGTTACTGAAATGCTGAAATAAGCCCAAAAATACTCTTATACTGCTAATCTTTTTCACTTTTTTATTTTTTAATATTGCTTTGTCATTATAGATAAAGACAGAATTGTGACAGGGTAATTGCACCTTTTCTGATATCTTTCATTTGATAGATTATCATAAGTAACTTGGAATGTGGTATCCTTTTCAATGAGTGAGTCTCACTGCAATTATGAGAGTGAAGACAATTCTTCTTGTAAAAGTAATTTTTCTGAAGCGTTGCATAAGGTGGCAAACCAAAAATAACCTTAAAGGCAGAAAATTTATTGGTAATTTCAGTTTCTTCCTTCAGAGATCAGAGTGAAGTAGCAAAAAACTGATGGCTTTTATGTGAATATTATATGGCAAATTATGTGAACATATGGCAAATTCTCCAATAAGGAAAGGAAATGGAAGGTTTGAAATTACATTAGCTGTATACATCCTGCATATGTTTCAATTGAACCTCCTATGATTTTATTTTTACAATATAATATCCCTATCTTAAAGGATCCGTTATTCTTAAATATAAATATCTAATGATATTGCTGACACAGTTCAAACACTGTTTAATCAAGGTGAGATTGAAAAAAAGATTATGCAAGTTTTGAAAATGAAATATTGTTTTTTTTTTGTTGTTTCCCTAATTGAAAAAAAAAAAAAAAATAGTAAATTTTTGAGAAGCAAAATTCTGTACAGAACTGTTGGCAAACCTGTCAGGTTTTCACAAGATTTCAAGCACATATCTTTCTCTGTCCTGAAAAAAAATTGCTTACTATAGGAAAATTAAGCAAGGTATCAAAAAAATAACATGCTAATAATACTGAGAAATCATAATACACAAATCTCTGAAGAAGAAAAAAAAATAGATTGTGGATTTGTGATGCTCACACAGGAAAGCAGCTGAAGAATTTGGTCTGCTTATTAAACAGAACTGCTGCAATATGTCTCTGTATGTTCTCTACAATGTACATTTAAATAAAGGAAAAGAGGAATGCTCCTTACTGAATATAACGAAAAGAAATGAAAATGAATATTTCAAAACATGCTCATTGAATATATCATATATTCATTTATTTATCTATTAAAGAATATATTTTAATCTGTTCTAATCCAGTTTGGTTTTCCAAAAGACTAACAACAGTTTACATGGGTTGATGGCGACAGACAAGGGGAAGTGGTTTTAAACTAAGACAGGAGCGGTTTAGGTTAGATATGGAGGAAGTTTCTCACTCAAAGGGTGGTGATGCACTGGAACAGGTTGCCCAAAGAAACTGCGGATGCCCCATCCCTAGAGGTGAGGGGCAGCCTTGTCTAGTGGCTGGTGACCCTGCACATAGCAAGGGGGTTGAAACTAGATGATCTTTGAGGTCCTTTTCAACCCCTGGACCATTCTATGATTCTATAAAGAAGCAAACAAACAAAGAAACAAACACAACAACAACAAAAGAAAAAAAACACTTGTCTCTAAGGAAACTCATCCAGGTCTGACAGAAGAGGGCAGTGTTTCTTTGCAGTTGTATGGAAAAACTGCGCATTATTTGAAAGATGAGCCCCTAGAGAGTATTTTGAGCCAATGATTTTAAATGTAATAAATGCCCTCTGAATGTGCTACTTAGTAAAAATATCAGGCAATGAAAAAGTAGATATTATGGTTACTTAATTGTTGTCAGCATTAAATTGTACTGACCCAAGGAACAACATATAACCTTTAACATCAGATATAGATGATTGATTTTTGTGTAATATCTCAGGATTAAATCTATGAAACAGTATTGTAGGTTGAAAATGGTAAAATGGTAAAAATTGAACCTACTACTACTACTAAATTATGGAATGTATTAAGTACATTAGTATCCATAAAATGGCTTTGCAGGAACCCAGTAGATGAATCAGCACTAACAGTCTGGCCTTTCAGGAGATATCTGCTTGACTGTACTGTCCAACTTATATCCAATAGGAAAACAGAAAAAAAATATGTAATCACAGTTTATGAAGGAAATAAGATAATTACTTACATATTTTACTTTAAAAGCTCTCACTAAGCCCCAGCTTACTTCAAGTTAATATTTTATTATCCTTCTATGATAGGGATATCTGCTAAGTCTGAGCCCTTATGACTGGCATATTTCTATGTCCTGAGTGGCTTTCTTTATTTCTGTCTGAAGTAATAACAAATGCATGAGTTTTTTTTCCCTTTCCTTCCCCTTCCTGCTAAAAGCTTATATTACTATTTGTCCTTCCCCATAGCTAGGTAGAAAAGCTTCTCCAGAGCTTAATGCAAGTGATGGTGTAAATAGGTGTTGTTGTTTGTTCTACTCACTGCCAAAGAAGGATTCCAAGTGTTCTCTCATTTGATGTCTTCCTAATTTCATACTATAAATCCCCATCCTTTCCTCCTTTGCTTATTTCTGCAAAAGATTTTGATTAAATTCAGTGCTTGGTGAAAGTTACTCCACAGTCCAGGTGCTTTTTCATAGAAGAATAGTAGCACAGAAAATAGTGACAGAATGTTTCCTTAGTCTGCTCCAGTTGTAGGGGAAAAAATTTCCTCTACTGGGATATGAGCTGTGGCTTGCTTTAAACAGTAGACAATCTATCAAGCCTGTTCATGTGAGCTACCGAACAATTACTCACATTAGTAGGACATGAATGTTAAGCAGCTGAATACAAAGCATTCTGTAGATATTGGGAAATCATAAGCTAAAGTGAGAAATCCCAATGTCTTATTGACAATTGCCTGAATAAGCATTTTATAAAGCTTGATGTGGTTTTGGGGTTGCAGCAGCATCCTGCTAAAGGCAGTGGGGAGATTGGCCTCTATTCCTTAAATAGTCCAATACCTTCCGTTGCAGCTATTGTTATTTTTCAGATATTCTTGTGTGTAAAATGGCTCTTCTTAACAAGAGTGCACAGCAAAACACATTTCTCTTAAGTCTATTTATTCAAAAACAAAATTTCTGAGATATGTTGCCTCTTTCTTTTTTGTTTTCTTTTTTTTTTGAGAGACGTTCATTCTGCAAATGCCAATGTCTTCAATTGATGTAGTGCTCCTTAAAGAAATCAAAGAAAGGAGACAATGTGATTTGATAAAGAAAACATTTCTAAATATTAATAATAGTATTTGGAATAAAATTCTAAAGTGTTTAACCTGTCTCTATGCTAAGAATACACCAGCTGTAGGGCATGATGAGGTATCATGATGATTGGTTCTGAATACATTGAGAAGTAAAAGTAGGGCTTTTTCTTTGTTGCAAAGGGCTTGTCATTATACTAACTTACTTCAACTGTACTGATGTTTTTGTTGTTGTTGTTGCTGTTGTAGCATCTGTTTATATTATGTAATTTCTTTTTTTGCTTTCAGACACTCTTCAACTAAAATAGGAAAGTGCTGCTTTAGCAATCTTCTGAATTTATTATTTTGAAATGAAAACACAAAATTATTACGATTTTCATCTATGTAGTCCTTAAGCAAAATTTTTGGCTTTTTAGGACTGTTGTCTAAACTAACATTACACTTTTTTTCTGTATATGAGCATAACTTGAACAATTTTACAATTTTTTTATGGTTGCTGAGAAAACTGTAAAACAAGTGGTGAAGACACAGTGAAATGAGCATAATATTTTGAAGGAAGTTGTATGTTGAGGAGTTGCAAACATGCCATTAACTGTTTAACACATTCCACATTTAACACTGGTTGAATGCCAAAAATATGAAGATATGAAATGAATTTTCAGTTTAGTTTCTTACACTCAAAATAATCATTAAATAAATGTGTAAGGTAGAGAAGATCTTGGGGCAGTGTAAAGTCTGACGAAAAATACATTATTGATATAAACATGGATATGGAACTAGAGAAATCCTGTTGTTAATAGATAGACACTTGAAAAACATATTGCTTTTATGTTTTATTGTAAAGTTGTACAATTGCTATATTCTTACCTCATACTCATAATCCTGAAAGCCTTTACATCTGAAAGCTGAGATGAAAGACAAACAAAAATGCATTTCATAGAATCATAGAATGGCCTGGGTTGAAAAGGCCCACTATGGTAATCTACTTTCTACCCCCCTGCTATGTGCAGGGTCACCAACCACCAGACCAGGCTGCCCAGAGCCACATCCAGCCTGGCCTTGAATGCCTCCAGGGATGGGGCATCCATAACCTCCTTGGGCAACCTGTTCCAGTGTGTCACCACCCTCTGTCTGATAAATTTCCTCCTAACATCTAACCTAAACCTCCCCTGTCTCAGTTTAAAATCATTCTCCCTTGTCTTATCAATATCCACCATCACAAACAGCTGTTCCCCCTCCTGTTTATATGCTCTCTTCAAATATTTGAAGGCCACAATGATATCTCTCCGGAGCCTTCTCCAATCTAAACAAGCCCAGTTCCCCCAGCCTTTCCTCATAGGAGAGATGCTCCAGCCCTCTGATCATCTTAGTGGCCCTCCTCTGGACCCGCTCCAAGAGCTCCATGTCCTTCCTGTACTGGGGGCCCAAGACCTGGATGCAGCACTCCAGATGGGATCTCACAAGAGCCAAGTAGAGTGGTACAATCACCTTCCTCTCCCTGCTGGCCATCCTTTTTTTAATGCAGCGCTGAACACAGCTGGCCTTCCGGGCTGCAGGCACACACTGCTGGCTCATGACTAGCTTCTCATCCACCAGGACCCCTAAGTCCTTTTCTGCAGGGCTACTCTCAAGGAAATCTTCACCCAGTTTGTATAACTACCTGGAATTGCTCCTACTCAAGTGCAGCACGCTGCACTTGGCATTATTGAACCTCATTAGGTTTTCATGAGCCCACTTCTCCAGCCTGTACAGATCCCTCTGGTTGGCTTGCCTTCCTTCCAGTGTGTCCAGTGCTCAGCTTGGTGTCATCTGCAAACTTGCTGAGGTTGCATTCAATGCTATCATCTATGTCATTGATAAAGATGTTGAAGAGTACTGTTCCCAAGACCGACACCTGAGGGACACCGCTTGTGACTGGCCTCCACCCTGGCACAGAACCATTGATCACAACTCTTTGGCTGAGTCCGGCCAACCAATTCCTAATCCATCAAACAGTTCGTCCTTCAAATCCATAGCTCTCCAACTTATAGAGAAGGATTTCCAAATATTTCTGCTGGAAATGAAGTTACAGATAAATCTCATGTTATTTAATTGATTACTAAAAAATAACACATTTCATTTATTGTTCACTATGAAAATTGTAAATATTTAATGAAGTAACCAGTGGAAAATCCTTGCAAAGTAGGAGATTCCAAAGTAGTTTAGTCACAGAACTCTATATTACTAATTAAAGCCCCACAGAAATATTAACACTTGTTTGCTGTGCCTGAGATATTCAAAATCTTCCCAGTAGCCAGAGAAAAGATTTTTTCTGTGTGTGTTTGCTTGGCTATGGCATAAGGTATACTAACATATCACAGTACTGACTTTTGTGTTACAGTCCGCGCCCGTTCCGCTTCCCCAGGAGACCGCAGCTTGGCCAATTACTGAGGTGACACCAATATGATGAGCAGTAAAATGGCGTTTATTACACGTATTAACTACCTTATATAGCTTAATTACTTCGTCTACGCCCCTAGGGGCCTACATCACACATCAATCATTAGAGCAGGGAGGGAGCTTAGCACATCAGACCCCGCGGGGGGGTCTCGCAATTTCGCAGTTGCTGACAACACTTTTGGTTTTCCTGAGTATATGAAATAGGCCTTGAACTGGCCATAGACTAAATAGCAAATTAAAGGTATATCAATTCAATCTTGTGGGACACTGAAGATGGATATTTTAATAAGGAAAAATTGTATTGTGTGCCTTTTTTTAATATTTCTGCCCTCGTCCCGCACCAATTTGAAGGCAGGTTATTACATCCATGCAAACATGACTAACCAGATTTAGAATAAGATTTCAAAGGAATCTGTATGTCATGATTTTAAAAGAAAGAGGGATCATAGCTTCCCAATGATTGGGAGTAGTTTACTTTTTTAATGAAGATAAATCTATTACAAATTAGCACATGTAATCTATTCCTTTTTCTTGAGACATTTTTGAAACTTCATACCATTCTTTTGAAATGCTTTGATTTCTTGCTAATTAATTTTTTTCATTGCACATTAGGATCTCTTCTTGTGACAGCAGTATTTTGTGAAGATTATTAAATAATACTGAAAGCTAGGATATCAAGCTATTTTACTCTTGTTTTTTTGTTTTTTGTTTTTTGTTTTTTTTTTCTCTGATTTACTTTTAGCTGGGATGGAATTCTTTTCTTCAGAGTATATGGCATCATGCTATGTTTTGGTTCTAGGAGAGAAAGTGACACAGAGATGTCTATAATTGCTGCTAAGCAGTGTTCTGTAGAGCCAAGACCATTCTTAGTGAAGGGTCTAAGGAGCTGGGAGGGAACAGAATCAGAACAACTGACTTAAACTGGCCAAAGAGATATTCCATGCT